GGGCCGCGGGCGGCGGCGCGGGGAGGGGACGTCAGGGAGGTGGCGGGGGGCTCGCCGGCCACCGGGCTCTCGCCACAAATAGTTTCTCGGTTAGGGAATTCGCCGGCAGGGCCAGGCAGGGAACAGCCAGTTCCAACTTCCTTCCCCCAAGTGGCTCCTGCTGCATTTCTGAGGCCCTTTCCCCAGAGACCTGGCAGGCCAAGTAGGGAAACATTCGCTGGAAGGAATCCGGGGGGAGCCCGAGCCCGGAGGAGGCCTTGCTCCTGCCCCAGGGCCGGCAGCGGTGGGTGTGCCCGGGAAGGCGGCGTTCCCCAGCGCCCGCAGATGTGTGTGCCCTTGTCTCGCACGCCTGGTGTGTCCGCACCCTTTTGTGGCACAGCGCTGTGGCTGTGGGTGTGGATGTTTATGTGCGTGCACAAACGCCTCGTCTGTGTGCCTCCCTCCACGACAGCCCCCAGTGCTGCGCGCGTGCGTGTGGGGCAGGACACGGCCTGTGTCTTTCAGCTCTGTGTGAGTCTATTTCTGGGTTTGCGAGCCTTTGTTTGCCTCTCTGTGAGAAAGTGAGGGCAATAGGGGAAGTATTTCCGAAAAAGGGACATGGATCGGGCTCAGGAGAACAGGAAGAGAACATGTGAGGAACGGACCAGAGTAGGGGAGGGTGGGAAGGTGGAAAGAATGAGGCAAGAAGGGCTTGGTGGCCTGGGAGTGGGGGTGGGGACCCAGAGGAGCTGAGGCATCTGGGTACGGTGGGGCCAACCTCAAGACCTAAAGAAAGCAGGGGTGTGGGGTGGGGAGACGTGGGAGCCCCAGAAAGGGCTGGTGTGAAGGGATCTGGCAGTCCCTGGAGTGGAGCAAGGACAGTAAGGAGGAGGGGCAAATCCTGCGATCCCGGGACTGGGAGCCCGCGGGTCCGTGCCCCCAAAGCCACGCCCTTCTCTCCTCCTCTGGAGGAGGAGCCCATGAGCTGCAGGACAACAGTGGGTCAAGTTTATAGGCTTGCTGGGTCTACAGTGTCAGAATCCAGGTGAGGGAGGGGTAATGCCTGGAAGAGTTTGTTGGAACGCTTATTTGAAGGTGAGCCCTGAAGACCTAGCATTACACTGGGGAGGGGGGGGGCATGACCCTTCAGAATGCCTTCAGAAGTCAGGACAAAGTACAGAGGGAATGTTCCACTAAGAAGTGTTTCCTGCAGCCTGATTTTCCTTGGGCTCTGCCCATTCAGGCACCCACTATCAATCTGAAAGGACAGAGAGGGCATCTGGTCCAGGATGCCAACACCTCTACCCCTGCACCTGGGAGACTGGGCCATGCTGGGGTGGTGGTGGGGGGCTGTTTCCATCAGCCACAGACCATGAAGGTAACCTGGGGGAGGAGGGTGATCCCTGGTCCGTCTGCTCGCCTTCTACCCCCTACTCATTCTTATTTCAGAGGCTCTCCTTCTGCAGTTCTTTGCCTGCAGTGTTTCCACTTGCTCTCTGCCTGTCTCATTTCACCACCCATAGAGCCCAGCTCAGGCCCACCTCCTTCCAGAAGCTTTCCCTGACCGCACTCTTGGGCACAGATCTTTTTCCTTCCAGATGACCAACCACATCTACTGTGGCCATGAATTGGTATTGGACTGATGTCTGATGTGCCCTGTGCTTCATGTGTTAGGTTTGGTTGTGGCACCTGAGGTCACAACTTCTTCTTGGTCCCATGTTCCCTCCATTCCTGGGCTCAGGGGCTCAACAACACCAAAAGCCTAAGGATGCCTGCAAAACTCAACAGGCCAGTGGACAGAGCTGGTACTCTGCCACTTACCTGAAGGCGTGAATCATCAGAGCTTCCCACTGGGGGGCTTCTAGCAGGAACCTGGGAAACCACAGGCCATGGAGGTTCTAGACGTGGGGTTAGACACATATAGATTTTGTGTAAAGCTTAGTGTTCTCAACTTTTGGAGAGACCTTATGGGAAAGAAGACAGCAGAGGACTGGGACTGGGACCCCCACTGGGGCAGCTAGGATGACAGAAGGGCAGTAGGCAGACACCCAGCTTTTGTGAGGGGGTTGGGAAATTCTGGGTTGGTCTTGGTGGTGGAGGAGGTTCCCTGAGGTGGTTATACCAAGGACTATGTGGATACCAATCCCAAGGAACAGGTAAGTGAGTGTCAATCAGATCCCTAGATAAGCCCCCTCCTGACCACCCACTGGCAGACATTCTTGTGTTGCACACACAACAGATACACTGCATGCACGCACCCCCAAGCACACACCACCAGGCCTGCACACTGAAGCAGGCACCACAGGGACAAGG